TCTGGATTCAGCCTTCTAGTCGAAAGCTGATTTCGGCTTAGTTGCGCCAGCGTGTGCTATCACGTTTTCTTAGAAAGTGTTTCTGGAAGTTTTTGTCTGAATTATTGTGGCTCGCACAGTTTGCGGGAAGGCGTTTTCTCTGTTTTCTAGTGAAGGTGCATGGCATCAGGTTTTTCCCCATTTTCCGACGTAAACGTCGGAATTCTTTTTGGGTGGTTAACTGGAAAGCTTTACGTAATCGAACTACGTTGTTCGACCAACCTAGTCCGATTACGTAAAGCTTGCCCCTGTGCACGATTTCCGAATTGATTGTCACAAAACATCGCACTCTTCGGCAGGTCATCTGCACATTTAATGCGTAACCCACTGTTTCGGTACTGTGCTAACACGTCAATGGCTGTACCCGTCGCCGAACTGCCACTAGAACTTGTCAATCGGCCCGTTTTTATTCATAGTTGTGTCATCTCTGGTGGTCACATCGCTCAGTAAGCTACTGCATATGTCAGAAAAGCCGTACGACTTTCCAAAGTTTAAATAATCCATGAAGACGGCGAAGCATGGATCTGTCAATCAAGGGTGCTGCGCACAGCACTATGGTAAGATTGGGGTTTCTGCACGGATCAGAGACATGAGCACTGCGCACCGAGGAGTCTGGTCGTCTGCGATCACCTGTGTTGCCAATATCTGGTGTGAGCACTGGATGAGTAGTACTGAGTAGTGCTTCTTGTGGATAAATCATTTTGGGGTAACATTGGAGTGTCTGTTAAAACTTAACCGTTACTGTTTGGGTCATGTCTTTCACATGCTCCTTGGTTACCTTTCTCAGCGTTCATTGGACGCGGTCGCTGCACCCCGTTTGGCGAAATCACAGTGCAGCTAGTTAACGATGTCGTAGATAACCTGATGGATGTCATCTCCCTGGATAGCATGATTCTCTATGGTCCACGCCACTCTTTGTAGGTCTTATGCATCAAGACGCAGTTGCGAATTCATTAGTGTTAATGCATCTGGTTTCTCGCTTCCAACTTTCGGCATTGCAACTCGATTAATTCTGGTAAACGTTTGTTCCCCAGCCTCCCGTGTTTTCTACCTACACTTACGTCGTTTGCGCTATTATTTTCTGGCTATTCGCGTTACGCAAGTGGACTCACCATGCTTTCTTAATCAAGTGGTAGCCATCTAACTGCTGAAACTAATCCTTTCGATCAATTTCTTCGTACCGTTGTCATCTCATCGATCGATCATCTTTGTGCCCCATCCAAATAGTCGTAGAAGTAGGGAGTCGTACACGACTTGGTAGGCTTCGGATAAGAATCATAGTGACAACATGCATGGTTAACTTTGGCTGCAGAGTTTTCACCACTAATTGTATGGGCATCGTTAGTGCGTAGTAGCAAATAGTTTGTTAGCTGTAACTGAGTTTCAGGAAAATCTGGGTTATTGGTGAAACCTTGCAGAGAACTTGTTCCATTGGTCGGGCGAATCAACACTCCAACTGTCAACCTGAGCTACCGACACTCCGAATTGTGAGCGGTTAAAATTCAATAGACGATTCACTGCAGTACAAGAGTGTTTCTTACCAAACACGCACCTGATGTCACGGATGACTGTTCTCTTAATCTGCTTACAAATATAGTGATTTCTTTGTTTCGTGCACTGGCTGGCTGGAGTGCAACATTGCCCTCCACGCTGCTGCCGATAACCTAATATTACGTGGGGGGCGGGAGAGTGAGACTGCAATGTTTCACTGGTTTTATCGATGCACTCGGTAATCGATACGTTAACTAAAGCCGGTGATGCAACTATCTAGGCTGGTTTATTCACCATTTTCAGCTGATTTTCAGTGCTAGTGACGTTGACACTTGGTAAGTCTTCCAGATGTATCGGCAGTATCTAGCACTATGATAGGACTAAACGTATTCCAGTGCGCGCGTTGTTACACTTCGTTCTGTCCTCTGGCACTCGCGCAGAAGCTGGGTGTCATCCCAAGAGCGCCATGTTGTTTGTTTACTCCATATTTGTCGGTCGAAATTGAACAGACGTATACTCCAGAACGCGTAAACGATGACACTTGTTCCCAAATTTTTATATCAATGGTTTGCGAGCAAACCATAAATTTCACAACCCGATGCACTGCGTTGTCATGCTGAACTCAGACTACAGTTCCCTGTGGACTCGTACACTGCTGTGGAGACTGTGGTATAAGGTTTTCAGCATGAAAAGAAGTTTGCCTAATAACTAGAAAACAGGCGACGCGATTGATGAGATTCATGGTATTCTTTTGGTTCCAGAAGATGGTTATTTTGAGCTGTATGTCGTTCGAGCGCCTAACAAAGTATATCGTTGGTGGCATGCGTTTCCACATCACCCTGTCACTGTAACTGTGAACAGTCAGAGATCGCTTGCGCCTACAGAGAGACCATGGGTACCTTATGCTTCATCCCTCACAATTCCATCCACACACACGTCGGTTGCAGTGTAGACCAGAGGGAATAACTGGAGAGCATACACACAGGAGCCACGATTGATTCGGAGTCGGCCCACACACTCCTTCAGTATTCATCTCATTCTTGTAAAATGGGTAACATGCGTACCAGGCGAATACACAGCGCAGTGACTAAACCGTAGCCAGTTCCACGATTGTTGGATCCACTGATTGAGCCTAAAATTGTCACCAAGATTGTGTGCCCGTTTTCCCCAAAAACGATTAGCGATTTCCTTGAGTCAGTAATTGTGATGAAGGTTTCCGGCAGTTAAGCACCTTTTCAACGTCTTCATAAATCGCAGCTAGAGCTGGGATATCTATAGGTAAACGCCATCAAACATAACACAAACTTAAAGGGTGAACCACTTGTGGATGCTCCGACACAGGAGTCTGATTGTGACGAGTAGGTTGTATAACACTGCGGTTAGGCTGGTGTTACTGTATGCATCATAGATCTGGACATTTCGCGCTGTGGACATTAAACGGTTGGCCGTGCTTGACCACGTGCTTGCGGAGTATCGCTCACATCTGGCGGGAACACAGGGTGAGCAATGCTGAGGTCCTCTAACTGTTTTGGGAAAAAACCTTCTGGTGTCTCATTGGTTTTTCTGTTGGAGCTTAACCGCATACGTTGCTTAGGTCATGTCTTCGGTGATCGCCTTCCTAGCTGTGCATTATGTGCTGTCGCAGCACTGGGTTTGGCGAAATCGAGAAGTGGTCATTCAACAACGTGGCGTAGAGGTATGAAGGAATTGACTGAGTGACTTCGTCAGGCTGATGCTTGTCCTCTTCGTTAATGGAATAGTCCGCATCAGTGGTTGCTGGCTCGATCGGACATGGCGCAGTCGCTCAGTCATTGCCGCTGCTGCATTCGGTTTCTTGTATCTGGTTAGTTTTACGCACTTTTTCTTAACCATTTCTTCTACTTATTCTGTTTGCCCAATTCTAGCTTCACCAGTAGCTGCACTTAGTCCAGGCAAATAATCCCTCTTATCGAAGCATCCGACCATTTTTTGCCTTAGACCTGTCTCTTGGTTTCAAGTCAAAAATATGTTTTATGCACTCTCATGCCACGGACAGGGTTAAATAATGTAAACGAATAGTGCATGAAGATAGACATAAAACTCAATCGGTGAAAATACTTTGTAGCGCAAATATCACTGAAGTTATTTACTAACTAGTTCTTGACATTTCATCGTTCAAAAAACGTGACAGGCAAGGAACTATTGGTATACTATAGTCCCTTGTGCGTGCGTATATAATTTTGTAGCTCTCTCTGCTCGAGGATGTTGATACGTATTCGGACAGTGCTCTGTGTAATGGGTAGCTAACATCAGTGAGTATTTTCGATGCAATCTTGTTACAAGTGTTGACATGGCTGGTTACAATGATGCGAAAAGGTTCCAGTCTTAACATTTCACTACACCGGGATAGATCCTTCACTGATCTGACAATTACTTTGAGGTCCTTACTCAGGAAGATAACTGGAGTGCAATGGTTTCAGTAGGGTAACCAATACAGTGGTAAAACGCTGGATCAAAACTCATCGTACGGAAGCAAACCTGGGACATGTTACATAGAATGAGAGTCTTTTAGCTTTAGCGAATGTTTCGTTCACATGCACGGACCAACTAAACTCATTGTGCAATGTCACTCTCAGTTACTTTACTGAAGTGGAAGTGGTCAAACATTCATCGTCAACTCAAAGTTTCGAACACTGCGTTAGGATTTGCTGGTAGCGATTTCCTTTGAACAGCGAAAAAGACATGCTTACATATTTTTGGTGTTTAACGATAGGCAACGGGATTTGGACCAAGCTGAGGTTGTTCAAAGGGTTTGCTGTTTGGCCGATGACTCTATGCTTTAATGATAGTCGCCAAGGATTGCGTCGCCCGCATATTTCAGCCAGATGGCTTCTACTGGCACGGGGATTGAGGTAACGTAAGTGGAAAAACAAGGTCTGTTTTTTCTCAAACTTGAACACCAGTGCACTGGGTCCATGTGATTATTAATGAACGCTAAAGTGATCAGAGTTTGTTTCCTTTGAACTGAGCCCCATTCAACTTTGCTTAACGCCACGTCTGGCGAAACCAGACGTGAAGCGGTTACGTTGCTCTCTGTTGTTCACCTCATATTTCCATTCATTTGTCTGGTTGCGGTCTGATTCCATTTAACTCCATCTTTTCCATTGGACTTCGCACTTATTGTAGTCTTACTTTCTGGCTTACTAAGAAGCTGTCGAACGTAATCAACCTCAGCCTGGAAACAAGTAACCCAAGTGGTCGCTTGGGTACTTTCGACCACATGTGTTGAAACTGAGTGAAATCCGTTATCTAGCTGACTTCATACTCTTCCTTATCTTTCGGTTTCATAAATTCACTAGGTAGTTTAGCTTGTTTTGAATCATACATGCCACACATTTCTCACCATTGATACCTCTTTCTAAATTACTGCATGTTAATGGATATTCATTCACTCCTATATGATACCAACTTTTAATCTTCTTATTCTATAGGTTATTGGTGTTGTCATTGAAAATGTGAATGATACGGATTTGTACATTGACTTTGGCGGCAAGTTTCACTGCGTGTGTCAACAGCCCGCGAACCAGTTCTATCCCCGTGGCAGTCTCGTGCGTATTCGTTTACGCGACCCTGAAATGACCAATAAGTTCATGATCAACACGAAGGGCATCAGCCTCTGTGAGGCAGACGCGACTTTGCTTGGTCCATATCGTGGCAAACTTGTTACCGCTGAAAAAGACACAGTTTCTTCCGTTTCAGGGGACAACCTGAGTACCTTACGTCCAGCTACGGAATTCGACAATGTCTGCGTGGATAATTTTCAACTTATTTGACGTCCATATTTCCTCTCATGTCTGGCGACCTATATTGTACAACATTCAGCACAATAAATTTATCTGTTTATCAAATCCCTACTTCTCCCACATGTTTACCAAATATTATTTGAGCAACTTTCAGTTTATCCATTAAAGTAGCTTATTAGTTTTGCAAAACGTCCACTTTTCACCACACTGAATTCCTAACCAACCATATTTTTCACACTACTTTTTCCCACAACTCCACTCCAATTAATTTTGAGTAGGCAATCTTCTTTAATGGTGTAACAGCTGGACATTTGTTGTTTCCCGGTCAGTATCATCCGCCCTCTAGACCACATCGACAGTACTCCCTCTTCGGAGTCGATGCATGCCGAACAGACAATGGTGATTGATTCCTGCAACTATGCGCCGACCACAATCATTATCTTAGCAGCACTGCTTTTCAGCACAACTGTTCACACCGCGTCATCTGGCGCCCACCTAATTCCTCAATGACCTGGAACCAAATTGACCACATTGCCATCAGCTACAGATGACGATCATCAATTCAAGACTATCGGTTAAATTGGAGCGCATGCACGCTTGGCGCTCACTTACCGCTTCGGAGAAACGCCTATCTTCTAATCTTTTTACCTGTGACTTGAACTCCCAGTCTGCGGTTCTACAATGTCATAACGAACTGGCCCACCCAATGTCAGTAATGAATGAGGTTGGTGAGTCGAACGCTGACTGGGTTTGTCTCTAGTGTGCAATGAAGAATGCCTTTGATGCACGCTGTGCACCATCCTTGAGACGTTGTAACTGTGAATGGATCTCTGATGCTTGGATCAGGTTGTTCGCAACGCCTAAACGGGTTCCGATGGGCGCTGAGTTTCAGCGTATCCGTAACTCCCTGAAACGATGTCTGACAAGGAGTCTTCAAGTTCACCGGGAACGTTGGTGAGTTGCAAAGGCCCCTGAGATGGAGAGAGCTAGTGCTATTGTAAACAGTCGGATGCTCTTCCAGCTCATCCGGGACATTGGTCCGAGAAAGACATCAGTTAGCGAGACAGTGACTGTGAAAGATTAATTGCGGATCCATTCTCAGCGTCCTCGACTAGCCAGTTGGGCGGAACATTGTGAGGAGGAGTTCAGCAGGCCTGCTGCGATATTGCCGCTTGCTGAATCACGTGAGCCTACTTGGGAAGTAGATGTGACATCTCCCACCTTGGAAGAGATTCGATATGAGCGAAGCGAAACGAAACAAGGCTCCTGGATCCGACGATCTTCCCCAGTGTTTGTTGAAAGTTGGTGGTGATTCTTTGTTGACTGGACTTGTTTCTCTTTTTAACACGATTTGAGACACTAAAGTGGTGTCTTCAGACTGGCGACTACCAACTGTCGTGCCTATTTGCAAGAAGAGTCGGCGTACTTCGTGCGAAAATCACCGTGGCATTAGCTTTATTTCCATTGCTTCATTCTTTAACGATTTACTGATCTCCGTGATGATCGAATCACTAAAAGCTATGCTGGTTTCCGCACTGATCGTGGCTGCATCGACCACATATTTTCGTCAAGTTTTAGAGCTGACATACCTACAGACGACTATGGTGGTTTCCTTGACTTGAAAGCCGCCTTCGACTGTATTGATCGAGACAGCTTGTAATACTGCCTATCTATGAAGAGCGTGCCAACTGAGCTTTTTCCTTTCTGTAGTCTCTACCGTGATTCCCGAGGCCGCGTAATAGTCTACGGGAAACTGTCTCCTGGGTTCCCCACTACAAGTGGGGTTCATCAGGGTTGTCTTATATATCCTCTCATCCTCAACTTTGTGATTGAAATGATCGTTTATGACTCCGTTCTTTCAGATTATTCTGCAGTGGAAGTTCTACCAGGTAACGGACCGACAGACTTAAAGTATGCGGACAACATAGTTCTACTAGTCTGATGCATTAGCTATACAAACACTATTACATAGACTTATGCATTGCGCTGCACGCTTCGGCACGTACTTTGCATCTTCAAAGTGCAAAGTGCTGTTGCAGCACTGTGCCGACACACCTTTCTTTTTGGATATTTCTTAACAGCCATAGGTAGTGGTGGGTCGGTTCATTTACCTTGGTAGCTGTGTCACTGGTGGTCACAGCACTGAGAAAGTTACTTCGCGTATCATTAAAGCCCGTATGGCTTTCCAGAGGCTCAACCATCTATGGAGACGGCTGGATATCAGGTTGTCAATGAAAGGTATAGTGTATAACGCTGCGGTTAGTCCGGTCTTAATTTATGGATCAGAAACCTGGCCAATTCGCGACGAAGCCATTAAACACTTGGCCGTGTTTGACCACCGGTGTTTACGGAGTATTGTTCACCTTTGATGGGAACACCGAGTGAGTAATGCTGAGGTCCGCTGGTTGATTTATGTCAATAAGCCTTTTGGTGCCTCCCTCAAGTATTTGCTAAATATTAATCGCTTGCTTTGGCTAGGTTATGTTCTCCTTATTCTTGTTGCTCGGCTTCCTCAGTGTGCATTATACGCCGTCGCTGCACCAAGTTGGGCGAAACCTCGAAGTGGTCAGTCCATGACGTGGCATCGAAGCATAAAGAAATGGACTGAGAGACTTGGTCAGGCTGGTGCGTGCCTTCTTCCTGGATGAGATCTTCGGGATGGTCCACACCAGTAGTTGGAGACTGTGTCAGACATGGTGCAGTCACCAAATCAATCGCGTTCTTGCATTTGATTTATTGCATTTACTTTATAATTTTCGTTCCATTCTGATTAGTTTAACGCCTTTCCTTCTTGTTACTGTTTTCTCTACATTTTTTCGCACCCAAACCCATTTTCCTACCGTTATTATTTTTTATTATTCTTGCGGTGCGGTTCGGGGCAACTGTATCCACTGCACTTTGATGGTTGGATCATAGTTGTTCAACTGAACTTAACTTTGTGGCAGATGTCCGCCGTTGCACTGGTCCCAACTTTGTGTACCTACGGGACCTCAAAGATCGCACTGCATCTAACCATAGTCATGAGGTAGTGCCTACCTCGTATGAGCCCCAGAGTCTTTTACTTAGCTCGATAGTTGTTGCGCTACCTGCTCGCTGAGAAGTTTCGCAGTTACTATGCTTAAACGCTAATGGTTTAAAAAATTTAGTCTGCCATTGCTTGTTTACATCATTTTGTATGCCTACTGGCTGTTTCAGAACGTGGGAATGAATTCGACATTTCTCACTCTAAACGTCACCAACTTCGTGCCGCTTGATATATCCGTGAATTCGTACGGTTTCTTCAGTGCAGATTAACGAAGCTTGCGGTCAATGGTCAATCAATCACCTATCCCGAGCTTCAGGACAACTTAAGGCCTAGTTCAAACAAGCTAATGTCCAAGGATCTGATCGAAGCATACTGGAAAAGTATAGATCAACAGACTAGTGCTGATTTGTGATCACCTATAACTAGAGCGGTCTGTTTCAGTCTGATTCAACTCAAGTCTGACTTCATTTTTCGCTCTCTTATAGACTCTAACTTGCCACGTACTCGCCTTATTTGTTCATCCGTACTGAACGTTGGCCTACTCTTGCAGTCCGACACAACAGATTTTGGGACGTAAACCGACACAACAATACTCTGTTTCGCATTCATTAATGGGCTTACGACGTTGCTCGAAAATCACACATATTAACGTCTCAGTTTCCTACAAACTACTCACCAGTTCGGTTCAGTTAAAGAATTATGGTCCAGACACCGAAGTACGGTGGATCCCGTTGCCACGAGTCATGTGACAGAAAAATAATGAACAGCAACAAACTATGGGGTACAGCGCAAATAGAGTAAAGAAAACGGAATAAGGGCAGAAAAGCGCAGAACAAATGGGGGTCGAATAAAGGTTTACTGCTAGCTACAAGATTTTGAAATCAGGAACGCCACTGATTGCGCGCCTGTGCCATGTCTCCAACCACTGTTGGGGACCATCCTGACGTGCGTAACCACGAAGATGACACGCACCAGCCTGACCGAATCCCTCGGCGAGTTTCTTCATTTAAACATTTAACGTCTCCACTGTGAACTGGCCAGGTCTGATCCATAAAGTAAGACTGGTCTTACCGCGGCGTTATACACCATATCTTTCGAAGGACTGATATCTGCTGTCTCCATAGATGCTTGAGCCTCTGGAAAGCCATACGGGCTTGCTGATAAGCAATGTAACATCCTCAGTGAAGGCGTAAACCACATGTCGAAGCGTGCAGTGATACAAACGCCGTAAATACCCTGAGCCATTGACTTAGTATCTTCGGAGACACGAATTGTGTAGTCACTTTCGTCAGGTTCACAGACGTGCTTTGTAATCCGATGATGCGGGTTCGAGTCTGCGTATTGACCGGGCGACCTTCTCAGGATTCTGGATCCACGTACGACCGGTGGTGGTTGCGCGGCAGTGGAGTGTCGGTACTGTGTACCGGCGTTTTGAAAATGTGCTTCTTTTTCTTAGTATTTGTCAATAACCCGAATATATTTCCTTTCTGCCATCGAGTACCATTTGGCAGCCCAGATCCTTCTGTACTCCAGCTATCTCCAGTTGTGTACAGGAAGACAAACCAGAAGGATGCCACTCGCTTTGATTATCGAGAGAAGTGGAGACAATCCCTTCTTTCAAACACAGCGCGACAGTGCGGAATGGTTACTTCCACGGGCTGTTTGTTTTTCGGCACAGATGTGCCAACGTATTGTGACCAAGTGACAAGTTATCGGAACTTTTGAATGATCTCTGCTGCCTGATAAAAACCATATTTACCCGTGTTGGTCGCTTTTCTTC